ATTCCTGTGCTGGTGGGGTTGCTAGACCACCCCAAGAAAGAGGTGCACTATGGTGCCTGTGGAGCCCTCAAGAACATCTCCTTTGGCAAGGACCAAGACAATAAGATTGCCATCAAGAACTGCGATGGGGTACCTGCTCTGGTGCGCCTGTTGAGGAAGGCCCATGACATGGACCTCACAGAGGTCATCACAGGTAATGGCTCCAGGGAGGAGAAGGAGGGGCTAATCTGTTGGGTGAGGGATGCACAGTGCAGGTTTTTAAGCCCACGTGATCTGATCGATCACCTCCCACTTGTGGCATTGCAGGAACACTGTGGAACCTGTCCTCGCACGACTCCATCAAGATGGCCATTGTGGATCATGCACTGCATGCCCTGACCGATGAGGTTGTCATTCCCCACTCAGGCTGGGAGCGGGAACCCAATGAGGACTCGAAACCCCGCCATATTGAGTGGGAGTCAGTGCTCACCAACACCGCCGGCTGCCTTAGGTATGGGAGAGGGGCTACCAACTGAGAGCTGGCATGGATTGGGGCTGCTGTAACACTCCCTCCTGGCTGCTCCTGCTAGCTTTCTGGAACTGCCAAAGGAGGTCTGCAGAGGAGCTGCTCTCCTAGGACAGCTACTGGTGGTGCAGTCCTTGATTTTGGAGGTGTTTCTCTCAGTGGAGGGGAGCTACAGGAGTCTTTCTCTGGTTTGAGCTCTACTGGGTGTGGGCTGTTCTTCACCTGCCTTCAGCTGTCTCTCCCATGACTGTTCTCTCCTGCCTGCCAGGAATGTGAGCTCAGAGCGGAGCGAGGCCCGTCGGAAGCTGCGGGAATGTGACGGGCTGGTGGATGCCCTGATTTACATCGTCCAGTCTGAGATAGGCCAGAAGGACTCAGACAGCAAGGTACTACAACAGGGGTGTTGTGGGGGCACATGTAGAGCTCTGCCCTTGTCAACCAGCTCTAGCAGTGCTCTGCTGTTCATGGTGGCTGAAGCTGGGTTCATCCCAAGGCGGATGAAGAATGGACAGGGGGAATCTTCACCAGGGAGGTATTTGGTCTGACAGGACTAGCTTGGGAAAACCCAGTCCAGGCTTATGCCTTTCCATGATCTCTGCTCGGAAAGAGAGAGCCTGTGTGGGGTATGACCTGGGTACTGTTTGACCAGGAGGTGTCTGGCACTCAGCCTGCAGTTTGCAATAGAAATGTTTGCCCTCCAACAGGAGTCTAGTGGTGTCTAGTCTACCAACTCATCCCCATGTTGGTATCCCCTGGCTCAGGGCTCCCTGATCTTCCTTGACGAGGCGTTGGCTTGAGTTTTCCTTGAGGCTTTCCTTGGATCTTTTGTGCTTATGGCAGAGAGATTTTTTCGCCCAGCAGAGTATGAACTCATGCCAGCAGAGCTGGCCATGCCTGCTTTGGGATGGGGGTATGCTCCAGCTCCATCTGAGATGGAGCTGCATATCCCCCTGGTCCCAGTTCAGCCCCCCTTGGCCTGGCTCTGGGTTGCAAGCTGTGATGGGGCCCTCGCTTGGAGACATGGGATGGGCGTGTGCTGCTCCAAGTCAAACTATCTGGCTTTCTCTCTAGCTGGTGGAGAACTGTGTGTGCCTGCTGAGAAACTTGTCCTACCAAGTCCACCGTGAGATCCCCCATGCCGAGCGCTACCAGGAGACACCTCTGGCCCCTGCCAACAACGCTGGGCCCCATGCCGCAAGCTGCTTTGGTGCCAAGAAGGGCAAAGGTTCGTTGGGTAGCAGCAGCATGGAGGGAGGTGGGATAGAGACAGATCTACTACCGTGGAGCTTGAGGGTGGTCTGGGGTCTCTGTGTTCCTACTCTGGCATCTCTTGTGTGAAGGCTAAACTGCAGCTTTCTCTGGAGACGCAGTGGTCCATGTCTCCCCTGGCTTTGGGAGCTACTGCTTAGCTTACCCAAAGCATTTGACACAAGCTAATGGTGGGTTTCTGTGGTGGTGGGGTGGTGATGGATAGATGTCCACTAACTCCACACCTTCCCTTTTCTCCTGTGTTGCCCCTTCCCCTTCCCTTTTGCTTTCTTGCCAAATGATCTGCCCCATGATGCTGTCGGCACTTCTCTCCTCCTGCCTCCCCTCTCTCCTGTCCTTCTCTCCGCTTCGCCAATAGACGAATGGTTCTCCAGAGGTGAGTGTGCTCTTTGGTTTTAATTTTTCCATGGTTTGATTGGGTGCTTTCTCTAGCTCTTTGTTTCCCCCCCCCAGCTGGGCACGTACTGCCTGCAGTGTGGCTAATGTCCTTGACGTCCCCTCCTGGGACACGCTGGTAATTTAGCTTCAGCTCACCTCTGGGCTTGTTCTTGTAGCGAGTGGCAAAGAGCTGTTGGGCTGAGATGAGTGGGGAGAGGAGCTGTCTTATGCCTCTCTGATTGCCCTTTCAAGGTAAAAAGCTCCCAGAAGATCCTGGTGCCGATACAGTGGATTTTCCCAAAAGAACAACTCCAGCCAAAGGTATGTTCCTCAGTGTGTGTGTGTGTGCAGGGCTGCTTCTCCACAAGCAGTCCAGGAGAGGAGTGAGTAGAGTTGATTTCCCATTGAAGTGAGCCTCTCAAATGGGCAAAGGTTTGGTTTGGAGGAGGTATGTTTCTGGTTGCCCAAGTGCCTGTCAAAACACTAGCTCTGCCACAGATAGTTGTGAGGATGCTGCTTGTGCTTGGAGGAGGTCAGTGCTGCCTCAAGACAGGCTTCCTGGGGTGCAGAGGGAACTATTGCCCTAGGGACTGCAGGACAACATGGTGACACAGCCCTAGGAAGGGTAGTCCTCTATGGTGGTCTCGGACTTCTCAGCACTTGCTCTTGCCTGCTCTTCTCTCCTGGGCATGAAGAACAGGCAGGATTTAAAGCCAAAAAACCCTGCCTTAAAGTGTTCTCCAGCATGAGGAAGGGTCATTCCAAGAAGCCTCTGGGGACAAGTGTCTCGCCACCTAGAGGGCTGTGAATCACAGTCCCTCTCTGGTTGGCCAAGCAGTGGGCATTAGCCAAGGGCTTGAGTTCAGCTCCTTCTGCCCCAAAACACCCTGTGGTTCCTGGGAGGACCCTGGTGCTCCCAGGGGTACAAAGAGTCAAGCTAGAAGAATCACAAGGAAACTTAGGACGGACCTGACCATGTTTGAGCAGCTCAAATATGCAGTGGTGGCTCCTCAGGCTGACCTGGGCTGTGGGAAGAGTCAGCACCCATCTCTGGTGGAAGCCCGAGAAGCTACCTGCTCTATCTTTGGACTGGGGACATCCCTCACCACAGCTGAGGACAGAGCAAGATGGAAAACCTGGCCTCACAACTGTAAACTGCAATCTCACCACTGCTTTAGAAGTCACTTCTGGGCAGAAGTTTCCATGGAAAACACTTAATACTTGAAGGCCTGATCCCTGCCTGCTAGCTTAGGGTAGTGGAGAGCTAGAGACCTGGTGCCTGCGGTTTCTGAGGATGAGCTGAACCCAAGCTTCTTCAACGTGGTGTTGGTGGCCACTTGCTTGGGGTGTTTCCCCTTCCTCCTGCTGAGAGTGTGGGCTGAGCCTTTTGCTACCACAGTGCCTGGCTGCCCAGTTTGCTGCCCCACCATGTGCCCTTGCCTGGGCTGGGTGCTTCTCAGCCAAGTGTACTGAAATCGAGGTCTCCTTGCTGATGGCAGCAGTGCTGTGGCTCGGCCCAAATCTCTCCTGAGCTGCAGCGGTGCGTTGGGGACAATGGGCAGCAGCCATGGTGTCCTTGATCAGGGCTGGTGCTGGGGGCTGGGTTTTCTGGTACTGTGGGGCAGCCTGGCCCCGTCTGTACCAAGGATCCAGCCTCCAGGGAGCAGTGAGCCTGGGTAAAAGCTGGAAAGCCTCATCTGCCCAGCAGTGCTCCTTTGTAAGTTCTTCCTTCTCACATTCTTCTGATAGGTTACGAGCTCCTCTTCCAGCCAGAAGTGGTCCGGATATACATCTCCCTTCTAAAGGAAAGCAAGACTCCAGCCATCCTAGAAGCTTCGGCAGGAGCCATTCAGAACCTATGCGCTGGCAGTTGGACGGTGAGTGCCTCACGGAGCTGGCCACGTCCACGTTCATCTGTGTTGCAGGGAAGGGGGCCCTGGGGAGCAGGGAGCATCACCCTCGGGGTACCAGCAGAGCTGTAGATGGCCAAGGCTCTGCTGTTTCAGGCTGTTCACTTTGTGCATGGCTCACTAATCAAGAAGATACCATTCAGCAGCACAGTTAAGGTGTGGACCAGGTCTCATGTGCTGTTAAGGGCTCTGTGCTCCCTGCCAGCTGTGTCTTCCCAAGGGCTGCCTATCTGTGTCCCTGCTTGCAGCCAGCTCCCTGCCATTCCTTTCCTTCTGTAGGCTGGGGGCAGGGGATGAAGGTTTGGGGCTGCTCTACAGCCCCTTGACCTGCATTCTCTTGGTGTGTGGGGGAAGACCATCCGGGAAATCTTGCTTGCCTGGCCTGCGGGGGGGCTTCAGGACAGAAATGGGACCTTTGCAGTCTGTCTCACCATGGGTGAAAGCCAGGACCCTCAGTTCCCAAGATGAGGTGGGAAGGGTGGCAAGGCTCCCAGAGGTGTCCCCAGGAGCAGGGAGAGACTGTGCCTGCCCAGGTTACACTGTGGTGCTCTGCCTCTCCCCTGCAGTATGGCCGGTACATCCGCTCGGCGCTGCGCCAGGAGAAGGGACTCTCCGCCATTGCTGACCTCCTGACCCATGACAGCGAGCGAGTGGTGAAAGCAGCATCGGGAGCCCTGCGCAACCTGGCTGTCGACTTGCGTAACAAAGAGCTGATAGGTGAGGGCTGTGGAGGAGAGGACATCATGCTCTCCGTATCCATCCGGGTTAGGCAGGAACTTCCTCCTGATCTTGGCAGCTGAGGAAGTGCATGGGCCCAGCGTCTGTCTACTGCTCTTCTCCCAGAGTAGCATGTACTGAGCTCCCCTGGGAGGGACATCAAAATTGGTCACCTGTCCTTGGTCCTTCTGCAGTGTTGTTTGTTTTTTTTTTACCTTGCAGTCCTCTTCCTCACTTGCTCATGCCCAGCTCTTTCCCCTTCCCAGGTAAACATGCCATCCCCAACCTAGTGAAGAACCTGCCTGGAGGCCAGCAGACCCCAGCCAAAAACCTCTCTGAGGACACAGTGGTGTCAATCCTCAACACCATCAATGAAGTAATTGTAGACAACCTTGAGGCTGCCAAGAAGCTGCGGGAAACGCAGGGGATTGAGAAGTTGGTGCTGATCAACAAATCTGGGTAGGCTCTGCTCAAAGGATAATGCAAGGGGCAGAGAGGGGCTTCTCCAGGAGCTTCCTCGAGGCCATGGGTATTTCCAAACATCTCTTCCTTCACCTCTTTCTAGAAACCGCTCAGAGAGAGAAGTCCGAGCAGCTGCCCTCGTCTTGCAGACAGTCTGGGGATATAAAGAGCTGCGGAAGCCCCTGGAGAAGGAAGGCTGGAAGAAGTCAGATTTCCAGGTATGGGGATGGGGGAATGGGGATGCCCTGTTGTGGCTGGGGCAGTAGGTAGGGTCCTGCAGCAGGGAGAAGGGTCTTCCTGGAGCTCAGCAGTACTGGATTTCAGCTCTTACCTTGCTGGTGGGATTGGAGACCCTTGAAGGTGTCCCCTCTGCCATTTCTCAGCGGATGGCCGGCAGGAAGTCTCTACTAAGGAAGAAACACTGTAAAGCTTTAAGTCCCCCACATAAGCATGCAGATCTGCAGGCAGGAAAGTTTGCAGCACTAAAAGCCACTGTGGCAGTGCTGAAGAACAAGGTTCTCCAGGACTCAGTTTCTTTCCCAGAAGCTGGGACAGTCCTTGCTTCTTAAGGGCTGGGTGCTGCCCTGACCCAGTCCAGGCAGGCTGCCTCCACTCTCTCATGTGGGTGCAGCCATGGGCTCTGGAGCACCCTCTGGTTGCTTCAGGGCCCTTGCTCAAGGGCTGTGGGAGGGTTCCTGGGTCTGTCCTGGTGTTGGGGGCTGGAGGGGTGGGATGTGCTAATGGGGAAGGAGTGTCTGGGCCAGGGTGTGAGTGGTCACTGTCTGATGCTCCAGGTGAGCCTGAGCAATGCCTCTCGGACCCAGGGAGGCAACTCGTTTGATGACAGCACCTTGCCTCTCATCGACAGGAACCAAAAAACAGGTATGTGCCTTCCTTTCAGCACCTGTCCCCACTGTCATCTTTCCACCTTGTGGGTACCCAGAACAGCTGGCCTTTATCCCCTCCCTGCTCTTCAGCCCTGGTTTTCTTGGCAGCCACAGCTGCTCACACAAGGCCATCAATTTGGGCTTTAGGTGGCTTCTCAGGGCTAGAAATTACACATGCAGTTAACATAGGTCCTGTAGCATCTTTGGGTCAACAGTGCTGCAGCTGGGTCTCCTCTAGCTGAGGTAGGCAGTGGTTCCTCTGCTGCTCATGGCTGCAGGGGCTGTGTCTGATCTGCTGCTCTCCCATGCTTGTAGACAAGAAATCCTCCCGGGAGGAGATCCAGATGAGCAACATGGGACCAGGTAGGAGAGGGACTGGAAGGGGGGCATTTTGCCTCCTTGGTATGCTGGGAGGGGGGGCAGAGCTCACATATCCTATGGGGATGATGCTGCCTCCCATGGAGGTGACATGACTGACTGTCCCCTCTCCTGCTCCAGACAACTATTCCACACTCAATGAGAGGGACCACAGCAGGACACTGGACCGATCTGGTGACCTCGGAGATATGGAGCCAGTGAAGGCAGCACCGTTGATGGTGAGCAGCTCTTCCTGAAGAGGGAAGAGTGAGCGGGATTGGGTTGCAGGAGATGACACATCACTGTCCTGGCTGGCAGGAGGAGGGGAGAACTGGGCTCCCACAACTAACACAACCCCCCCCTCCCCGCTCCATTGCCCCTACTAACCCCCCGTGTGTCTGCAGCAGGAGGAGGGGCAGGAATCGCAGCCTGAGGTAGAGGAGGCGGAGGAGGAGGATGCCGTGTTTTCCCCCATGTCGGTATGTCCCGCAGTGTCCTGCCCAATCTGAACAGCGGTGACAGATCCTGCTGCGCTGTTAGGGGTGCTTTGGCAAGCCAAATCCTGCTCTGATCGCTGCTGCCAGCAATCATTGCCTGATCCATTGGGGCCATGATCACGCCTCCACTGCTCGCTCGCTCTCTGGGTGTGCTAATGTCTCCCTCTCTCTCCACAGCAGAAGATCTAGCTGCCGTCCCCACCTCCACTCAGTTTGGGTTGATAATATATTATATATATAAATATATATATAACTCTTCATGATGAAATGGACCAACTTTTACCTTGTCTTATTTTTTGGATTTTTTGCTGGACTGTTTGTGCCAACTAGCCAGCCAAATAACTGGGCCTGATCCCCCAGGGGCAGCCCGGGCTGCTCTGCCTCCTCTAGACCGCTGCACCTCCCTGTTTTGGGACACCTCAACCAATAACTCTTCCTCCCTGTCCTCCACCACCTCCTTCTTCCAGAGAGTAAAACCCTCCTGCCTGACTCTGCCGGATTGACCGGTGTGGATGCTGCAAAAGGACTCTGGATCTCTGCCTTGACCAGGAACTGCCTTCTTTCCCATGCCTTCCCTCTGGAGACGTCTGCAGGGACAGAGACTGGGACCTCACTTGCCGCCTTTTTTGTTTGTTTGTTTTGGGTTTTTTGTTGCCTATAGGATATATTTTTGTGCGGGATCGCTCTTCAACCAGGGCTGTGGGGACAACAGGAGCATCCCTCCCTGGTGGCGGCAGGACCAGGGTGAGGGGGGCTGGAGTCATGGGGGGGTGAGGGGAAGGAAAAACAGCAATAAGTTCTCTTGCTTTGCTCTAGATGAGGTTTTGGGGGCATGGGAAGGGGGATCTGGCTCTGGATCCTGCGGAGGGGTCTGGATGGGGCCGCTGGCCCCCACCCCATGACTGTGTGAGGAGGGATCCTTATGTGGGGAAGATGGTCAGCGTGGGGGGCTTGGGATGGGCCTCCCTGTGCAGGAGGCGATGGGTCCCTGTGGAAGGAGGAGATGCGGCAGGGCTTTTGGGGAGAGGCAGGCTTCTTGGGGCGCACTGTGTGCCAGGTGTGAGGAGCAGGCGCTGGCGGGGCTGCAAGTGGGTAGAGCCAGGATCCCCTCTCTCACCCCCACGCACCAGCTGCCTGTGGCGGTGCCCCTCTGACTTTCTCTTGACATGTGCCTTTCTTTTGCCACTGTGAAATAGCTCTTTTGAATCGTACTGTCTGGCTTCTTTGCTGGGCAAGGGGTGTTTCCTGGGCTTCCAGCAGGGCTGAGCGCTTCCCTTCCCTGCTGGGAGCCTTAACTGTCTGCAGTGGGGCTGGAAGCCTGTTTTGGGGGGGATCCCAGCTACCCTGCCCTCACTGATGGGGTGCAGGGCTCTCATCTGCATCCTGTCCTGGGGAGACTAGGTTGCCACATGAGCTAGGACATACGTATACTCCTCCTCTTCTCTGCTGTGGTAGTGGGGAGCACATCTAAGTGCTGTGATCTTTTGGGGAGCCCTTGGGCTCCCTATGCAACTGGAAGCCTCTCTAGGAGGCTGCAAACTGGAGCAGGAGCCCTCCCCAGCCTGGGGCTCCCCCTGAACCATAGGCTCATGTGGGGAGCGGGGAGGCTGCAGCAGGCAGAACTGGTGCCTTGCTCCTCCCTGCTCCTCTACCTGAAAGCACCTCCCAGCTCTGGCTGAGCCCTCCCTGGCTCCAGCCCCACCTCAGCTCAGTTTGGTTTTGTTCTGGGGTCTAACTTCTCTTTTCATTTAAATATGTAAAACACTAATTCCTTTTTTTTAATTTTTAATTGCAAATGAACCAAAAAAAGGTTACCCCCTTCTCTCCTCCCCTGCCCTGGCTCTCCTGGGCCACCCCTGCCCTGGCGGGGAGTGGGGCTAGGGAGGAGGGGAGCAGGGAGCAACAAGCAGTTCCTTGTCTGATTCCTGTGCACACTCTTGTAACGCTTTTAAAACAAAATGATTTTTTTATATAAATAAAGTTTTTAAAGTGTGTCTGTGTGCCTTCCACCTAAGGCTGCCACCTTGGCGTTTTTAGCTTTGCAGTTGGGACCAAGTGTCTTTTTCAGGGGCAAGGCTGTTCTCTTGAGCATCGCTCAGCTGTGCGTGGCTCTGAAAGATGCCACTTTGACAAACCCTTTCTTGGGCTGGAGTGACATTTCCTCTTCTTTCTAGCAAAAGATTGGAGGAAAAATAAAAAGTACCTAAACTTTGCTTTGTACTGAGTTCCTAACCCTTTTTGCAGGGTACTTGGGGCTGTGTAGTCCTCCCTCTACCATAATTTGTCTAGTGCTGAGTGCATCCTTAAAAAACCTGGCTGGGGGAGCCCTCTGGAGCAAGAGCTGCCCCTGCAGAGCACAGCTAGGCTGCAAACTCACTTCCTGAGGAGTACCGAAGCCAGGCTGAAACATCATGTTAACTCACTTTGCTTTCATCTGTCTCTGCGTGTGAAAATAAGTAGAGAAAGAAATCCTGTATATTTGTGGAAATATCTTTTTGGAAGCAGCTTTCTGGCTTCTGCTTCAAACCAGCTTTTTACTGAAGCTGTGTTGCTGTTGGAAAGATTTCACTGGGGTGCAGAGCAGCTCTTTTTACCCTGTGGTAGCAGGATGTGGGTCTGCAGTGATGCTGGGGTGGTGCTGATTTCCTGCATGGTGCAGCACAGAGCTTGAACTGTTCCCCTGGGGAGGCTGGGGCTGCTGTCTTCTGGGTTACAGGGGAAAAGCGGCTGAGGCAGTCACCCCTGGCTTGCAGCACCCTGGGAGATGGGGACCCAATATAGCCGTGGGTGGTGGGGAGCACTGATGGATGCACCTGGCTATGGGGGGGCTCCAGCCCTCCCACCTTGCCTTGCACCCTTGTTCCCAAAGCTACCAGCGAGCAGAATCAAAGGTGGAGCCGGGTGTTTTATTGCTTCAGGTGGAGGGTACAATGCCCAGGATGTGTGGCTTGGGGCAGGGACAATGCCGGGAATGTCTTGGGGGGAGGGGGACGAGGAATGATGCCTGGGATGTCTGGCTTGGCAGAGACAATGCTGGGGACGTTTGGCTCAGCGGGACCAATGCCAGGGACGT